TTACAGGCCCTTGCCAGACAACACACGGGGGTGGGGTCCAAAGTTTTTTTTTATGTAGAGGTGGGGCTTCGGCTCTGCAGTGAGTGGCCTGTAAGGCTCTTGTGAAAATGAAGCTTGTACTTGGGGCATAATCCTAATCTATATTACCAGGAGCAATTAGTTACGCAAAATTACAAGAATAACACATGATTTAAGGTGTTTCACCGTTAATGCGAGAGCTAGTGCACTTGGTGCCACTGCTGAATTGCATTATATCAAAGACGAGAATTACAATATGTTTTCATCTATTTACTCCTCTTTGACACACAGAAATGAAGGTTCACCTTGATACCCTTTATAAATGAAGAAAATTTAAGGACGACCTAATACATGTGGATAACACTGAAAAAATTTCGCCTCAGGGGAAAAATATATAGCATATTAAGCTCTACACATCCACCAAAGTAAATTAAAGAAAAAGAATTTCAGTCCAATTTGGCAACTGACCATCTGAATAGCAATTCAATGTATTTCAACTACCCTGCTTAAACTCGATTAGTCAATATCAGTACAACATCTGAAGAAGAAGAAGAAGATAACACGATGCAGAATATCATCAAGTCAAGTAATCAATAATGCATGTGGTGGTTGTAATTTTTGAGACACGACTACTCAACATTTATTCTTCGAGTTACATAGGAAGTGATGGATATTAGCACAAATTTAAGGAACTGCTGCACCACTTGTACAAGAATAACACAACTACAGATGAATTCATAAAACTTGTTTATGTGCAAATATGCAATCTCCAATAGCCATTGAATTTAAGATTGCAAGTCCCAAGCAACTTTCTTCTTCCGCGATTTTTGGGCTCCATTTTTCTAGATTATGATGAGGGGAATAGTAAATTTTTGGAGAATGTGTAATTAAAAAAAAAATAAAAAAATTTAGGTTTAGGTGTAATATTATTTTATTAGAAAATGTGCAATTGATAAGAAGCGAGAAAAAAATGAATTTTAATTTAATGGGAGCCAAACATGAGCTTACGCGCTATTTATGAAACGAGAATTCATATATTTCAAGTCTTGTTCCACAATTAAAATGAAAGCACCCCACAAGTCCAGACAGAAATAAATTATATGATGCAACCTTTTTAGTTTATTGTAGCTTTAGTTTGAATTTTTTTTTTTCAACTGATCTACTTGTTTTTTGCTTCACATGAGAGAAGCAAAAGACTAGCAAAACATTGTAATTATTAATAATCTCGACATTGACGAGGACAACATGCTTGTAGAAAATTTCTTTGCCCTAAGACAATTTAAAATGGCAGAATGTAATGAATGCACTTATCGAATTTGATAAAAGAGAATTTGCACTTGGGATTAATATGGAAATCACATCTATTGCAATTAATATGTGAATCAAATCTACCGATCTTCCAAGAATATGGTGTAAACCAAGTAAATAAGGAAGACTTGCACTTGTCCACTAATCCTCGATAAGAAAGGAGAACCTTCCCATAAGACTTTGTTGGGTAATTGCTCGAGCCTTTGGATACATTTGCTTTGGCCCAAACCATATTACAAAAGATTGAAACCATACAAATCAAATTCCACTAAACCCATTAATATATAACCCCCCACGCCCAACCCATTTCAGTTTTTCCCCTCTTCAAGAAATCTCTCAACTGTGTTCTAGCAGAAGAAGAAAGTAATCAATTATCAATGGAAGGAGAAGAGGGAACACAGCAACCTCAGCTTGTGCTTGCAAACAAGCTATTCCTCCTCACTCATCCCGACGTTGATGACATCGAAAAAGTCCGCCTCCGTGATGACGTTTTCAATTCCATTATTTCCAACGGTATTCTGGCATTTCTTGTAGTTTTTGATTTAATTGGTGTTCGTTTTCTCGATTTGTGGATGTTAATTTAAGGTTCCTTTTTTTGGGTTTCTGTAGATATGGCTCCGTTGTATGAAACCCTAGTGTCTAAGGTGTTGGATTTGGATCAGAAAGTACTGGATTCAATGCGCGCCAAGATCGATGTCGAGCTTAAAAAGCTGGACGAAAGGTATGGATTTCATTTTATATATGCATTTCAGATTATAGCGCTACTTAAGCTTTATACGTGGTTATGTTTGTGGTTTGAAATATGATGTTTCTTCTGAAAGTCAGGGATTTATTGCATTGGATGGAGAAAAGTAATAACTCAGTAATATGATTTGTGGCACCGTATTTTTATTTTTATTTATTTGTTTATTTATTTTGGGCCGTGCATTGATTTCCATTGTGCGTTAGCGAGCTAGCTACACCCACTTGTATATGCAGTTATCTCTTCTGCGGTTTTTGACTGTTAACTAAAAGAGTGATACTATGTATTATGGTGTTGATAATTTCTCGATTTACAATGCCTATCAATCTAGTAATAGAGAAGTACATTACAGGATGGTGGATACGGTCCCTTAAAATACCAATAATCTTTCCGAAGCCACAGTGAAAGGTTGTGTATGCTTTTCTTGTCCTGAAATGCATAGAATTGTAAATCTTGTGAAAAAGGTGCTGCTGTCCTTGTCTCTTATGGTATGGTGGAAAGTTGGTTGGTGTTAGAGTGGATTGGTTGTGCAATGAGTGTTGGCGTAGTATGATGTCATGGGGTGTAGAAAGGACAGGGTTCTAGGCAGGCCTGGGGAGGTTAGACTGGTAAAACTGCAAGGATGTGGGCTAGAAATTAAAATTATAGTCAAATATACTTCTGAATTTTTAATCGAGTGTCATGTTTTATGCTTTTATCCATTTCACTTATGCAGGTGAAATTATTATGCTGATCTCAGTAAATTGTGGAAGATACAAGAAATAATACTAAGTGTCTAAATAAAAAAGAATAATCACTGTACATAACATTACACAAATGATAAATATGTGTAGATAACAATCTTATATTCTATATTTATAATAACATACACAAATTCTAACAAAAATTATCTATTCTCTAATAAATTTTAAATGACATCTAATGGATCATTTTGGATTAGTATTTCTCTTAAGCATATTCTTTCAAATTTTATGATTTTTGTCACTTGAGAGAATATCTTACAGTGTAAAATCAGTTGTGGTTGCATGCTTGTGTTTCAATATACTATTTGCAGTCAGAAAGTGGGTGAAACAAATATTTACAATTTCCTTGAAAAATGCTGCTAGAAGTGATTGGCTACTTGAGAGTGATAGTGTCCGATCGGAAGTATGAAAAGCTTCACAGGGCTGTATATATGATGACTCATCAGAAGTTTTTTGATTCCAATATCCACCGCAGAACTTGATACACCACCCGATCATTTGACCTTCAGTCACTGTAAACATTTGCCATGGTTGTCTGTTGAGTTCAACGAGTTCTAAAAAACGCCTCATGTTTCTTGAATAAGGTAAAGAGATGGGACCTACAACTGTTTAGGCCTCTATATATTTTTGGCGCAATCTCAAGTTTTGCCGTCCTTGTTTGTGTAATTGCATGGAGCTACTATTAGTTATGTTTTATACCGCTAACCAAATTCTCTCTTGACTACATGGATTGTTAGATTTCCTCATGCAACATGTTTGGTAACTGACTTTTGAGGTGTATTATTTGGATCAGGATTTGTTACACTTAAAAAATAATATTGGAGACCAATGATGCACATTTTACGTGCTTTAAAATATATCCTTTTCTTTTTTCCTACTGGTTGCACAGAATCAAACTCTAATTACACACCCACTGGTTTCTATAATTTGTTATGCAGTCATCCAAGACTGTTTGGTTAGGTTTTGTTGGTGTTATTGTCATTTTTTTGACTAGTTCATATTTCCTTCTTATCGGTTACCACAGATACGCACTACTGTGCAGTTCTTTTAAGGAAATCCTTTTGCCATCATCTCCTCCATAATTAAGTATCTTTGGCTTAATTTTTGTTTAGGATTGCTGACGCAGAAGAAAACTTGGGTGAAAGTGAAGTTCGGGAAGCTCACTTAGCAAAGTCCTTATTTTTCATTAGAATTGGCGACAAGGTACAGTCGTACAGATTTGATCCTTCGATGTTTTACTTATGTTATTTGGATTGAATTTATTCATTGTTCTTAAAAAATCCAGGAAAAGGCGCTGGAGCAACTCAAGTTAACAGAAAGTAAGACCGTTGCGGTTGGACAAAAGATGGACTTGGTTTTCTACACACTACAGATTGGTTTCTTCCACATGGACTTCAATCTCATCTCTAAAAGCATTGACAAAGCAAAGAAGTAAGGGTCAACATCGACGATAATCTTAGATTAAAAATTTCCTCGTTTCATTTTATTTTAGTTTCGATTTTGACAGTTAGCATGCCACAGCTTGTTTGAAGAGGGAGGTGACTGGGAGAGGAAGAACCGTTTGAAGGTGTATGAAGGACTGTATTGCATGTCCACCCGTAACTTCAAGAAAGCAGCAGATCTTTTCCTTGATTCTATCTCAACTTTCACGACTTATGAGATTTTTCCTTATGACACCTTCATATTTTACACTGTCCTTACAAGCATTATATCCTTAGATAGAGTTTCCCTGAAACAAAAGGTATCCAAATTTTCTTTAAATCATCAACTTAACTGGAACTTAGTTATTATTTTCTCCCTCTATTTATGTGTGTGCTTTTGCTTAAAAAAGCAGTATTTCTCTTGTTTGTGCTTCAACAAGCAGCATTTCTTTCTTATGGTGTTTGTAATATATGGCAGGTAGTAGATGCTCCCGAGATCCTTACTGTCATTGGCAAAATCCCATATTTATCTGACTTTCTGAACTCTCTATATGAATGCCAGTATAAATCATTTTTTTCAGCTTTTGGTAAGTATCTTTTACTAAACCAAATCTTGGGGAAACTTTTATCATAACCCTCAGACAAAAAGTTAGACAAACTTAGTTTAATAAGAAATATTCACCCATAAGATCACTCAGATAAGTCAGAACCTCATTTCATATTCTGTAGATGGTGGTGAAACAGAAATCTGAGAAAGAAACTACTACATCCCTACATGAATCCTTGTGCTATTTGCACCACATGGTTTGACATTATTGTCTTTCTTATTAAAAAAGTGATGCTCATATTGAACCTGTTCAAACAGTTTACTGGTTTACGATTCGTGTCAATTGAATTTCTATTTGCTTTCAGCTGGCTTGTCGGAACACATTAAATTGGATCGCTATTTACATCCCCACTTCCGATATTACATGAGGGAGGTCAGAACTGTTGTTTATTCCCAGTTCTTGGAAGCCTACAAGAGTGTAACAATTGAGGCTATGGCTAAAGCATTTGGGGTGACAGTAGATTTCATTGATTTGTAAGTTGTCTCATATTATTCTGATTCTCTTGATGAATACTAGATTATGTGTATGCTTGGTTGCTTAAAAGTTGTATGTCCTACGAATGTGTTGATAAAAAGTATGTTTGACTAGTGTAAATAAAAGTTAAGCTTGCCCAACATAAACTAGATGTAGACTAATATTGGGGATTGTGTAATTGATTAATTATTTCATGTACAGGGAACTATCTCATTTCATTGCAGCAGGGAAGTTACACTGCAAGATAGATAAAGTTGCAGGTGTATTGGAAACTAATCGTCCTGATGCAAAGAATGCTCTTTACCAGGCAACGATCAAGCAAGGCGATTTCTTATTGAACCGCATTCAGAAGCTGTCCCGTGTGATTGATCTTTGAAGTTGGTAAAAAAAGGTTTTTCTTCTTTGAGGCAATGTTGGAATTTAAAACTGAGACTGTTGTTTTTTGTTGCTTCATTCAGGTGTACTGGTAGTGTTTTACTTGTATTCATACAATCTTTTGAAAACTTAAATTCAGACGTTGAGTTTTTCAAAGACATGTTATTTAACTTCGATTTTCTTGTAAATCTTGTCTTTCTGTCAATTATTCTTACAGTTTATTTAACTTTTGACCTGAACGTAAAACTAATGGATGACCAACTTCACACAAAACTACACACAACTCAATCTTCAGAAAAAATATTTTAAAAGAATAGGGATGTTCATGTTAGTAGATTGTGTTAGTATAGGGATGGAGATGGGGCGGGAGCAACTATTCTTGCTCCGAATCTTGTCGAGGATTTTCAGGAAACAGGAGCTAGGAGGGTGTAGGAATTGAAATATCTTCATTTATCTTGTTTATTTATTTTATCCATTTTTTAAATATGATTGAAATTGAAAAACATAAAAATAATATAAAAATACTCATGATGGGTTCGAAAATATCGGGGCGAAGAACATATTCTCGTCTATGCTCTGTTTAGTATTTGGGTTGAGGCAATGCACGATTTTGTGATTTCTACATTAGTTAAAATGTCCATAGGGGATAATGTGACCAAAATTGAAAGGACAATAAAACGAAAGATATGGTTATACTATTGAGCTTGTGAATATATTTGTCTGTGTTTGATTTTCGTTATCTGATTTTTTTTTTTTTTCAATCTCATTGTTGATCACATATTCTTATAATAAAATATTTTGTACGTACATCCAAATTTTTTTTTCTACCTTGTAATTACACGTTTTTCAAAAATTCACTATTTCAAAACTCATTTTCCTAATTAATGGTAGACAAAACATATGCTAAAAAATAGGGGGAAAAATTGGGTGCCTCTATTTACATCACGATTGTTATGTATGCATCCCACACTGTATCTGTCCATATAAAAATTTTAAAAAAGTTACTATTTCCTTTTACGTCAAATTTCAATATTCTCCTTATTAAATTTATATATAAAAACATTATAAATACATCCATAATATAAGGACAACAACAATGAACACGTAACAGTTGCTGTATCTATTTTCATCTGCTAAAGGCAAAAAGGTATTTGCTCAGTTCACCTTCCATTCTTTATTTTGTATTAATACTTTGTACTTATCGTGTGACTTCATCATATCATAGATAATTTCAAATTATGAACTACATCATTTAATCTCATTACTTTTAGACATTTCAAATTATAAACATTCTCTGTATATATACAATTATGTTATTTGTACATTTTTGGGTTACATCGTAGATGACATTCCCCTATGTGGATGGAATTTGACCATTGATCGAAAAAAAGTGGTGTTAAAATCAATGTGCAAAATGATGTTATCTCAGTGTCAAATTTGATGTCAAGCCTAATGTATGTATAGCAAAACTGATGTATATTTGTGTGTGTATCCACCATTGGTGCCTTCGAATTAATCTAGATGTACAACTAATTTGATAGTAAGTTGTTAAAATTCGTGGTGTTGATTTAAAAAATAATTTTTAAATCCCTTCATTATCCTGTTCGATGCAAGCCGTCAATTCAACAAAGAACTTGCCAATTAAATTCGGCCTTGGATTAGTATCTATATAGCCTACCCCTCGTACATACCCCCACCGGGCCGACCCCACACATTTTTCAGCCACAAATCCTTAGAAAAAATATATTCAGATACTTCATAGATCTAAGCCATGCATGCGATTTCGTCTGTTTGTTCCATTCCCAGTTGTAGTACCGAGATTTGTGATCTAAAACTTGCTCAAAATTAAACCCATAAAAGGACAAACAAGAGGGGGAAAATCGAGACACCATGCATCCTTCTATTGATATCAAGGAATTTAAAGAAAAATTATCTACAGGGTTACCCTTTCAGCGTTCATTTCAGTTCTGGTTCGAGCGGTTGATATCTATACTGACTACAAGGTATGTTTATGTGCGTCCATAAATGTGTATTCGTGTATCTTTGTAAGAAAGTTGACTGTGATTTGGTGGTTCTAGGTGTTTCAAGTAAAGTGAATTTTGAGTAGGATGCCGAGAAGACGGAAGCAATGAGGGAGAAGCAGCATGAATTTGTGGCTGATAAGATTTATAACATGTGCGCTGATCTTGGTGGGTTCTGATGAACAAAATGATGGATTTGAGCTATGACTTTAAATGAAAATAACTTACCAACCTTACCAAAATTTTCAGAGTAACAGTAAGAATATCAAATGAAAATGAATGTCAAAGCAACGCCGAAAAAAATGTATGCAAAGTCAAGATAAGAGTTGAACTCTTTGTCCTTAAGTCGAATTTGCCCCGCAACAGTGCCTACAGATGATGACAATCAACTCCCAAAATAAAACGACAAACTTCTTGTGTTAGTAGCACTTCAAAACACAAGAACAACGAACCGAAAATTAGATTTTGTACTCCTTTTAAATGAAAAATGGAAAAACCAGCTTTTATGCAGAATTTAGGCTAAGAAAAGATGAATTTAATGTTATGTTATGTTATGATTGCATATCATTGGGATGAACAAATGGACGTCCCAAGTGTCTAATTTATAGAGAAGGAAATGTAGTGAGTGAAGTATCACGCCTCAAATTCAGCAACTTTTGCCAAGGGTCGCAACTTTTGTTGTCGCTAGCTTGTTGCCCTTGTGTCGCTTGAGCTTCAGAAACAGAGACTCTATCGCTTGAGCGACAGCCTCCTCGCTCGAGCACTAGGCAAGCGACGGAGTTGAACAAATTTTTAGTCAGTTTTCTCTATTTTCTTCCAACTTTAGACCGTAATCTCTCATTCACCCGAAATTGATTTGGAGATTCCAAATATACCACGACGATCTACTCGACGATTAGAACATGTTAGTCTATTCATTTTCATAATTTGACTATCGGATGAGGTCCAAATATTTGATCGAAGTTGACACGAAAGTCACTTTTTCATGGTTTAACACTTAACCAATTCCAACAGGTTCTTCCTCAAGGTATTATTAATTAATCCTTTTTATTTACTTCAATTCCAGTTATTTTTGCTGAATTTGTATAGGTTTTTTTTTGTTTGTTTTTATCTTTTTATGGTACTCCCAGTTGGAAAAATTCGATGTTTTTCCCCCTCTTTTGAATGACTCGTTATGTGCTGTTAATTTACAGTTTAATACAATATCAAATTCGGATTCTTAACAGTATTTGACATTTAATTTGACTTTTACAGTTTAATACAATGTTATTTGAAGCTTGTTAGAATGGAAAATTATTCTGGAGGAGGAGTTGAGTCAAAGTGTTCATGACTTGTTTGAAAGATTTGAACCCCTTGGTTCTGCATCGATTGCACAGGTATTTCTCCTTGTGCAAAGGGGCATATTGAACTAGTTCTGCACTTTTTTTCCTAGAACTTGGTGCTTGGAATTGGTTTTAGCGAAAAATGTTCACTTTATTCAAACAAAAACTGAATTTGATATCTCGACACTGGAGGAATTGTTTTAATTTGTGGCAAAATTCTAAAGCACGCCCATTTTGGAAATGGTAAAAAAGATCACTTCTAATTATCTACTTCTTCAGCTTTTTTTAAACAAATGGCAAAACGTCCACCTTTTTTCCAACTACAAACTGAACTTGTTATCTCCGCATTGGAGGAATGGTTTTGATTTGTTGCAGAATTTTAAAGCACATACTTCTAATCAAATTGTTCAGAGATATTCTAAAGAATCTTCGTCTTCAGGTTTTTGCTTTTCATGATGAGGAGGCACAGGTGTACCATGTATGTAGTTTTGCACCTACATTTGACGCTAAACGTATCTCAGAAAATGTAGCAGTTAAAAATAAGATTTAAATTTTACTGTTAAAATTCATCTTGAAAATGGTTTAAAAGCCCTAGTTTATCTCATAACCTCTATAGAACAGAATCTCAGATTTTTTAATCATTAAGATGCCACCATATTTTTTTCTTATTTCTGAAATCTTAGGAAAAGGATTGATGAATGTTCTATTTTTGCAAATGGATGTCATATCACGACCACCCTAATGTAAGATTTAAGTTCACAGAGCTCGATTTAAAGGTGATAAGAATGATGTCATTGTCAAGGTACGGAAAGTTGCACATTAGCTTGCAGTCATGACATCTGCCTATGGTATTAATTATCTTATCATTTTAGGTACAACATCCTGGTGTTCAGAAATTGATGATGACTGATATTCGCAACTTGCAAGCTTTTGCATTATATATGCAAAAGACAGATATAAAATTCGATCTATATTCTGTAACCAAGGAAATGGAGAGACAGGTACTCAGTCGTCTACAATTATTCGATGATAACCACTTGAATTTTGTTCTTCATGGCCTCTTTTGCTGATAATCCTGGCTGCTAGTTTTGGCCTCTCTTCTATCCAAGAAATGTTGTGTACTCGGACCCTGGTTTTATGATTTATATAAAATGATGAAAAGTGTACATCATTTGGCCTTTGAATCCAGTTATAACAAGTTTATGACCAGATCAATAACAATGCTTTATGCCAATAATCAGTATTTCTCTCATCGTTTTGCTTTTTGGTGCAAGTAAATAACCTTGCTTTAGCATTTTCTTACAAGTATTACTCAATGATGTTTTTGCACGTGCCATCTAAGATTGGACATGAATTCAACTTGGAGGCTGATGCTATGGAAAGAATTCGCCATTTTCTGTATGAAAATAACAAAAAGACCCCGGCTTTGGTGCCATGCGTGATGCGAGATATGGTCACTAGGTATGGTTGTAGATTAATTCCTTTGGTTAAACATAAATTAAATCATATGACGACAATGTCTTCCGAAGTGCAAGTAATGGCTCAACTATTTAACATCAGATTGTAGCTTTAAATGTGTTTGAGCTCTCTTATTTCTTTAAGACTCATTAAAATTTAGATACTAGGGATTGTGCAGGTTTTTCAGACGTCCTTATAATGTAGGAGGGTTCTAGTGATGGAATCCCCATCCTGAAGCTTGGTGATGAAATAGAAAAAAGAGGGATAAATTCCAGTGGTAAGGTAGCTGCAGCAGCAAAGCAGTAAGCCCCTAGATCATCCCAGAGAGTATGCGATCTTTTTTTTTTTTTGTCCTTTCACAATTATAGTGTACTCAACTGAACTTAACAAAGCCCTTATCCTATACGTTTCCAGAGTCGGCTAAGTATTTATGAATTAAAATATCATCTCACACCACTTTCCTTTCTTGTTCATACTAATGCAGACTCCTCTTTGTTGTTCTTTTCCTTCGTAATCTTTTACCCATTCCTGGCCTATTTATTATTCAGCTTTTCTGTAATCTCCATAAGGTCAAACATATTGGAAAATCGACACTGGTATTTCTGTACGCAATGACACATTCTTAAACAAGATTGCAAAGTAATCCTTAAGATACATTTTTTCTTTACATTTTTGGCAATATCTTGACGAAACTTCTGAAATAATGCTGGAGCATATTCTTCCCATGTAAGTCTCAACCTTTGTTTTTGAAAATATGTTATCGGTTGTCCTGATCTGGCACTATTCAGAACTTTGTGAAGTCCTTGTGTTCCTAATTTCTTTTTTCTGTATTTGGCAGTGATTTACTGTATAGGAGATGAGGTACCAGAAAAGTCATTCTCTAATCCAGTTATTTCAAAATGCAGGAACATCCTCACACGTTTGACACTTGCTTATGGACAAATGATACTTAGGAGTAGTTTCTTCATGCAGATCCTCATCCCAGAAATATTCTGATCTGCCGAGGTTCTCAGGCAAGCGCCTATCCAATACTTTCTACCTTAGTGTTTTGCCACTATCTTCTTAGTTTATCTGCTAATATAGTAGTTTTCATGGATGACCATATCAGTTCTCTTGATGACATAGTACTATGTTACTGGTGTGTTAGGTTGCATTGCTTGATTATGGGCAAGTGAAGGATCTCCCTGACAAACTGAGGCTAGGATATGCTAATCTTGTCCTTGCTATTGCAGATAATGATTCTATAAGGGCATCAGAGAGCTACAGGTTCTACAGTTTGCACAAGGATCTTGTTTTCTATTGACACGTCCATTATATACATTTAAATCAGACTTGTGAACCGGTTAAGAGAATCTAATTTTTGACATGAAGAACTGATGAGCTAACTTTTGAGGAAAAATACCCTAACCTTTTGCGTTACGTGATACCATGTGAACACGTATCCTGAAAAGAAAAGAAAAGGTTTGATAGAACAACAATGAGGCGCCAATGCTGCGAGAATTTGGCACATTTTCCCCCATTCCTGTGGGTAATTGGCAGTAAAATAATCCTTACTTGGAAAATTGAAATCTAACCCTGAAAAAAAAACACCTATATGCAGACATACAATAGGTCAACAGAAGTAACCATTTATTCACCATAGTAGGAGTATTACATTGATCTTTGAAATACCAAAATTTTAAAGTGCAAAGTTATACCAGTAAGCGTATACATTTTTCTGATGTATTTGACATTCTGTCTTTCTTTGTAACATTAGGGAACTTCGCATAGATACATTGAGCAATTGTGAGGATGAGCAAAAGGAACTGTTTAAAATGGCACAAACTATGTTCGATACAAAGCTACCACCTGGTGTAACAATGTTGCAACCTTTCTCGGAAGATTCTTCAATTAAAAAAATCGCTGCTCAGGTATCAAAATATTTTAGCGTTTGATGACTTGAACCCATCCTACTGAGGTTGTTAGATAAAAAATGTAAAGAACGCATTTTGAATGCATTTCTTTTGTTTCTTTTGTTATCTAGTGTTAAAACAGATAAAAAAAAATTACATGGAAGTATATTATTGTTTTGCATCCTCTGAATTTAAAAGCATTTATTGGCTTAATGGCGTGGAAAAATGAATCGACGGCATGGATCAAGTGATCACTATGTATGTTAACGTCACTTCATCTAAAAGTTTTAGTTTGTTAGAATGAGGGGAAATTTGTTTAGTTATATTTATATCTTCAATGCGTTCCTCATTCAAATCCGATTTATGTTCTTTTTATAAATGAGTAGCGTTAAGAACTGATTTTGGACGTTTGAATTTCTGATATCACACTGAATCACCCTTCTTAAACTTAAGCTATTAGAACGGACAAAATTATTCATTTATATTTATATTTTCAAGAATTCGATTACCTTATTATGTTACGGTGATATTAGGCTTTCCCGGAGGAACTCTTCTGTGTTCTTCGTACAGTACATCTACTGAGAGGACTTAGGTCTTAGTGTTGGACTTGGGGTTAACTATTCATGCGCAGAACAGTGGAGACCAATTGCTGAAGAAGCCCTGCACCTTGCTGGGAGACTCACAGATAACATCTCCAACTCCGAAAGTACATAAATAGATCCCAGTAGTTTATTATGATAAACATGAGTGAAAACTCTCATTTCTCCTTTTGTGCATTGTAATCGGTGTCGCTGTCGAAATATTATTTCTTTTGTTATGTGAATAGCAGATTCAGACATATGGATGTGATTTTGCAAATGAAATTAGTTCAATTAAAGTGGACGTGGGTATCATTCCAATATTTTCCTTAAATATTTCCCTTTTTTGTACCTAATTTTCAGATAAAGAACTCAAGAACACACGTAAGCGTGGTATATTGAGAAGAATGTTTAGGAGGTAGTGATCATCTAACAGGGAGCAGGCACAAGTCAACTTGGAAATCTAATACTCTCGCTCTGGTACGCTGTATTGAGTTCTTTACTACTCGTGTCATGAACATACTTCTTGTATCTATCGTTTTTTCACATCATAATACTCAAGCTCGCAGAAAATGCATATTAGAAAATTTTGAAGGTCTAATTTTTTATACGTCGACTTGGGTTTGGTGGTAAAGCTGTCAATGCAAAGTGATACTAACAATTGAGTTGATTTTTATCCTCATTTTTATCCTCATCAACTACAGGGAATGCAAACTGCGTACAGAATACAATTCTTGTTTGACAAGCGTATGATTTATAGAATATGCCATCCCCACAATATGCTAATAATCCATTCACAAAAATACAGAACTGCAGAATTTTGATATGTGATATAAATTTAAACAATACAAAAGTTTACTGTTTTAGAAATAGCGACGAAGCATCTTTCACCGCCCTTTTTTGACTTATTTAACTCAATAATTACGCGATTATCTGCATAAAATATTCTACTTTTTTTTTTTTTACCTTAATACGTTCATGAAATGTGGATTAGATAGTAGTGAGCAGAGGTATTGAGCTAAGGGTTTTTCCTATTGTATTGATATCCCGAGTAAATGGCCTCTTGCTAGGCATCATGATCGAGCTTTTGATTCATGCTTTCCATTGGTGGCCAACAACTCCATTTTTTGTGTAAGCAGAATCGAATTCGAAATCATATCATGATGAAGCAATTGTAGAGACAAATCAAGTAGATTTTGATCCACTATACAAAATGCAAGAGACTAGTGCTAAATAAGAAAATGAACTTAAAATCTGGTCTCTTATATTGACTTTTACGATATAATACTGATATCAAATATGCAGTTAATATACAAAGCTTAATGTTTGATAATATGGATTAGATAGTAGTGTATAATATTAAGAAAAATAAAGAAACTGATGAATCTTGTTCAATACTGTGTACAACATGCCCTAAGGTCATGTGTTGTGCATTGTTTTGAGTGTCGAAAAATATTACAAGTATATCTTCCTTAACGACTTCCTTTCTATTTTTCTATGCTGAACATGTTTTAAATGAAAATAAAAAAAGTATTATAATCATAGGAATATATAACAAAAAGTTACAGTTTTAAGGTTTCATCATAACCTAAGTAGAGATGGCAGCAGTGTGGGTTCGGGGCGCAGGCCTGCCTCGTTTCCTGCCCCCCCTTTTTTTTTTTTTCAAAAATTTCTAATTAAAATACAAATTCAAAATTTTAAATCTAAAGCAAATAATGCTCAATTAATTACATCTATATCCAAAGCAAGTACTCGAAACTAACAATGTCCAAAATTAAACATTTGTGGTTAATTAAATTTTTTTTTTATTCTTCACGGGGTGGGGCATCTCTGCCTTGCCCCGAGACAGGGCGGCGATCCTTGCCCCGCTCCGCCAAACCGTTGGGGCGGGGCAGGTTTTTTTTGGCATTCAAACTATGCGTTAACCTTAGAGGCTGGAAATGACTAGGTAGCAAGATGCCAAAAATATAGTTCCAAAATAAAGTAGCAAGAACTATGGAGAAATTTAAATATATATAAAGGAGGCCCCATTATTCTTTTTTAATGCTAAACTTTTTTTCTTGATTTTCTTCTTTATAGGAGACAAACCATTTAAACCATTTTTTTGTCTTGCTTTCCTTTGGCTTTATAGTATGTTCAAAACTTTTTAGTTTTCATCGAACAAGAAAATGCAGCTTTTTTTCTATATAAGTTGCTTTTCTTGTTAAGTGGTTCTTTCAAGAGCCTTGTTGCAGATTCAAGGACAGAGAGAGAGAAAGAGAGAGATAGAGAGAGTAAATATATGGCCTATAGTTTCTTTTCTGAAGGTTCAAACATTAATAGAAGAAAATTTCCCAGTAAGTACTCCATCCTGCCCATATTAGAGAATGCCACTGCCAACTGGTTCCCGAATTTGTCGGATGAAAGTGGTGATTTCAAGAGGCTGAAGAGGACTACAAGTGTTGGCGAGTTCATTGAAAGTAATGCCAGCAATGGCAGCATAACGCGTGCCAATAGCACGAGTAGTTTGAGCAAGCTTCAATTTCGAGATCATATATGGATGTATAGCCAACGGTATCTAGCAGCTGAGGCCGTGGAAGAGGCGGCAGCAGCCATTATTGGTTCCGAGGATGGGGAGAAGGAAGAACAGGTCAATGAGGATGGAACGAAATTAGTTCAACAGCTCATTTCTTGTGCTGAGGCTGTGGCTTGTAGGGACAAATCACATGCCTCGTTTCTATTATCTGAGCTTCGGGCTAATGCTTTGGTGTTTGGCTCGTCCTTTCAGCGTGTGGCATCGTGTTTTGTCCAGGGACTTGCTGATAGGTTGGCTCTGGTTCAACCCCTTGGCACGGTTGGTTATGTTACATCTAAGATGAACATTGTGGAAAATGGTTTGGAGAGAAAAGATGAGGCCATACGCCTCGTTTATGAAATTTGTCCACACATTCAGTTTGGTCATTTTGTAGCCAATTCTTCAATATTGGAAGCCTTTGAGGGAGAGAGTTCAGTGCATGTAGTGGACTTGGGCATGACCCTTGGCCTACCACACGGTTACCAATGGCAAGGCCTGATCCAGAGCCTTGTTAAGCGTACCAGGCCACTTCCTCGACTCCGCATCACCGGCGTCGGCCCATGTGTCGAAAAGCTTCTATCCATAGGAAATGAGCTTGAGACTTATGCACAAAGCCGAGGGCTGAGTTTGGAGTTTTCAGTCGTTGAAAGCAACTTGGACAACCTTAAACCCGAACAAATCAAGATACTTCCCGGGGAAGTCCTTGTCGTTAACAGCATCCTCCAACTACACTGTGTGGTCAAAGAAAGTCGAGGCGCACTGAACTCAGTTTTACAGATAATCCACGACCTCTCCCCAAAGGTATTAGTCCTAGTCGAGCAGGACTCGAGCCACAATGGTCCGTTCTTTCTAGGAAGATTCATGGAAGCATTACATTATTATTCAGCAATTTTCGACTCCCTCGATGCTATGCTGCCTAAATATGACACGAAACGTGCTAAGATGGAACAACTTTACTTCGCAGAGGAAATCAAGAACATCATCAGCTGTGAGGGGCCGGCTAGGGTAGAAAGGCACGAAAGGGTCGACCAATGGCGCCGGAGGATGAGCCGAGCCGGATTTCAGACTGCACATTTAAAAATGCTGACTGAAGCCAAGCGATGGCTGAATAACATTAATGCAATTGAAGGCTATACCATTGTGGAAGAGAAGGGCTGTTTGGTGCTGGGGTGGAAGTCTAAGCCTATTGTGGCTGCTTCTTGCTGGAAATGCTGAAAATAATCTCCTTTTTTAATCATCCTACCAATAAGATAAGACTACAATCAATGATGAATTGCAGATTGAAGTGCAAATAAGTAATTTCTGCTGATTTGGTGTGTAGAATTTGACATGTAGGTAAAAAGTGAACATTTCTTTTGTTCTTTGATTGCAAAGAGAAGATTAGCTTATTTTTATTAATTCTTACAAGAGAAATAAGCTATTTCAGTGTGATGTGATCAGATATATTGTTTCCTCGTGCGCTCTTCAATAATGTCTCTGATATAAGACGGTGTCAACATTTTTCCTCGATGGTCGCTACTTAGCGCACGTCCCCCCAAGACGTCGACCCCCCGTGGGTCCTCTACTCTCACAGGAGCCTCTACCACTATAAGGCCTATGACGTCAACCCCCACTATGCTTAGCCAAACAAATGGCCGTGAGATAAACGAAAATCACCCAACAGCAAACGTGACCATGACCAACCGCAATACAAGTGGGGGTCAACGCTATAGAACGTGGGGGGAGTGGGAAGGCATACGTGGGACACGTGGCACAGTTAATCGTGGAGCAAGGGGGCGTGCCATCAAGTGCCTATAAATAACCCAATGTGGGGAAATGTATTTTTTCTTCTGAAAACTCGAACTTATTGAATGCTCATATACTCTCTGTTTACTCCCTAAAATCGACTACTGATTCTCACGCCGGAGGTACAACGGGGGACAAAGCTCCGACCTCATTTTGCAGGTAACATTCGTTGATTTGAGCAACCGAAACACCCCACACGTCATCATCATCGTGGAGGTAAATTTTTTGATTATTTCAGTCTCCAAAGTTCACAGCTAAATAACTTAATCCAATTATAAAAATAAGTGATTCTCTTGTCCGGCACATAGCTCCTTCGCTGATTAGTGAAAGTCAAAGACAAATTTGCAAATTATAAAGGGCATATCTGATTAAGTTTAAAAACATTCCAAAATTTTTGTACTTTTATTAAGTTCTGTGTCACTTTTGAGTTTAGCCAAACATACTGTATAGAACTATACAAGATTAATTTTGCACGCGTTGAAAGTAACTCATTTGTGCTGTTCCGTTATGTTAAATCTTTCGTCTCAAATATCTCAAATATGTTTCTCGCTAATTTTGAGAAGGAAAATTTGCACTATTAGTCCTTAACCTTTTGATTGAGTTACAATTTAACCTCCAACTAATTAAAAATAAGCAAGTTGATTTTCAACCTTTCAAAATAGGTGCATTCGCTAGCGTCCATATACGAAAGAAACTGTCCAATCTAACTTCAAAATGGCATGCAACCCTTTCATGTACACTTTTTAAGAGGTAAAGCTTAATTGTAATAATAATTAAAAAAAACAACAAAAAGTGAAAAGTTTCTACAATATGGCATGCTCTATATCTTGTTCCATAGGATAGAATCTATATTCTATAATGTTGTACATTATAAAAGAGGAAAAATAAATTGATATTTTGTCTATTAGTTCTTACGTAACATCCATTAAGGGTCAAAATGAACTAAAAGTTAACAAATCCTCTATCGATTACAATTCTTCGCAATAAAACTTTGATTGTTGAATAAAATTCTCAAAATCTATACGTCATTTAACATAACTTTAACCGTGAAATTAGCGATTGATGTGAAATTTCGAATTTTTAGAAGAAATTTTGCTCATTTCTTATCCCAAAAATATAATCCAAAAGGCACATCTTGGGGACTTAATGGACACCACTTCGATTATATATAATTTATTAATCAAGTGACCAATTATGAACATTTAATAACTTTAATGACCAATGAATAATGCTATTTAATATTTATCACGTGTTCATCGTCAATTTATGTGACAGTGATCTTTCGATTCATTGTTCAATGATAAACGTACATCACAATTTCATTGAATCATAAATTAAAAGGCCCACTTCCACCGAAACAGTCAATGACTAATGAGCACCATTGGCAATATCTTAGTGACTAATTTGAAGTTTTGTACAAACTTCAGTGATGAAACGATAAAATTGACTCTTTAATATTTAATTCACCCGCAGGCCGCAGCGCATTATAACCCTGGTTAGGTGCAGCATAACGGCAGCGCATTTTAACCCTGGTCAGGCGCACAGAGAGATTGGAGAGAGAGAAACAATGGCGTCCCTGGCAGTCAACCCAGTTATAGCTTCCTCAACAACTGCAAGAAATGGCAGCTCATCCTACGCTCCTTCCCACAAACTTAACCTACGCACCTCCCACCTAGCAGCATTCCAATCAATCTCCCATCTTCTCACTTATTCCCCATCCTGTCCCTATGCCTTCAAAAAACTCCATAAACCCCATATCTTTCTCCCCCACTTAGTTGCTTCCCTGGTAAGTGTGTGTATCTGCACAATTTTAGCATTTGTAATCAGATTTCAATGACCCGTATGGAATTTTATGTTCGTTTTTAGTTAAGCCCATTCTAAGAGTGTGGGGGTGTGTGTTTGTGTGTCTTAGCATTTGTGATTAGATTTCAAAAACCCATATGGAATTTTATGTTATAGTTCAGTTGCTTCCATGTTAAATGTGTGGGTGTATGTGTGTGCGCATTTAGCATTTGTGAATAGAATTCAAGAACCCAAATGAAAATAGCCCCTGTTTGCCCGCCTATTTTTAAACTTATTTTCAACCACACATTTCATCAAGTTTTATCAAAATCTACTGAGAATCTGGGCGAACGTTCTTGTTTAGTTGCTTCCATGGTAATTTTGTGGGTGTGTGTATGCACATTTTAGCATTTGTAATTGGATTTAAAGAACCCATATGAAATTTTATGTTATTGTTTAATTGCTTCGTGTCAAGGGATAAAATCTTATATCGAATAAAAATGAAAACACTGGTCAACTTATATGGTTTCAGCTATTCTTTTTAATAAGATTGACATTTTATGATGAAAACATTAAGTTTCAACGAATAATTTGATCTGATTAATATTCAAAAAAATGAGTAAATGGATTTTAAGATTGATTTGCTCAAACAAGCCATCATCTTGCGGAAGCATGTTAAGAGATAAAAATCTCACATCGAATAAAGATGAAAGCATAGACTAACTTATAAGGGTTTGAGCTATTGCTCTTAATAAAATTGATTTTTTAAGATGAAACTCTAAGTCTTAACACTTTCATGGTAAGTATGGAAGTTTGGCATTTGTGATTAGGTTTCTAGAACCCGTATAGAATTTTATGTTCTTTTGTTGTTGCTTCAATGTCAAGTGTGTGGGTGTGTTGTGTGCACGCACGCATTTTAGCATTTGTAATTAGATGTCAAGAACCCATATAGAATTTTGTGTTATTGTTTAGTTGCTTCCCTGGTAGTGTGTTGGTTTACGTATGTGTGCATTTTAGTATTTGTAAATAAATTCAAGGACCTACATAGGATTTATTGTTCTTGTTTAGTTGCTTCCACGGTAAGTGTGTGGGTGCATGTGCACATTTTTTACATTTGTAATTAGATCCCCTGTTTGACCTCAATTTTTTAAAACTCATTCAACCATACATTTTATGGAACCTAGAACTTTTATCAACTTATCAACTGTACATTTCTTCAACTTTTATCAAAAATCTATTAAAATTTTTATTTTTATCCAAACCTAACAAGGGCTGAATTTTAAGTTATTGTTTAGTTGCTGCCATGGTAAGTTTGTGGATGTGTGTGTATCTCATTTTAGGTTTTGTGATTAGATTTCAAGAACCCATATGGAATTTTATGTTAAGTAATTGCTTCCATGGTAAGTTTGTGGGTGTGTGTGTGTGCACATGTTATCATTTGAAATTAGATTTCAATAACCCGTATTTAATTATATTTATTGTTTAGCTGCTACCATGGTAAGTTTGTGTGTGCACTTTAGCATCTTTGATTAAATTTCAAGAACCCATATAGAATTTTATGTTCTAGCTAAGTTGCTTCCTTGGTAAGTGTGTGGGTGCGCGCGCGTGTGCATTTTAGCATTTGTGATTAGATTTCAGAAACCCTTATGGAATGTTATGTTTTTGTTTAGTTGCTTCCATGGTAAATGTGTTGGTGTTTGTAGGAGCATTTTAGCATTTCTGATTAGATTTTAAGAACCCCTACGGAACTTTTGTTCTTGTTTATTTGCTTACATGGTAAGTGTGTGGGCGTATAATTAGATTTCAAGAACCCATGTGTTATGTTCTTGTGTAGTCACTTCCATGGTATGCGCATTTCAGCAATTGTGACTAGATTTCAAGAACCCATGAGGAATTTTATGTTCTTGTTTAGTTGCTTCAATTGTAAGTGTGTGGCTGTGTGCATGTATGCTCATTTGTGGTTCATTTCAAGAACTCTTATGGAATTTTATGTTCTTTTTTAGTTGCTTCCATGGTAAGTGTATGGGTGTGCATCAATTTGCATTTTAGCATTTGCAATTAGATTTCAAGAACCCATAAGAAATTTTATGTTCTTGTTTAGTTGCTTTCATTGTAAGTGTGTGGTTGTGTTTCTATGCGCATTATGAGATTTTGATTTCAGCTATGATGCATTGATATGGATATGGATACGTATGTCGGACACGATACTTGTCGGATACTTCGATACGTGATTTTTCAAAAAGTATGACACGTCGACACGTTAATTAAAATCTTTAAAATTCTTAGTAAAAATTTAGTTTTTTACTTATTATTAATTTTTCATGTTTTATTGATCAAATTTTTTTACAGGAAGTTGAAGAGACTTATATTATGATTAAGCCAGATGGGGTTCAGCGTTGCCTTGTAAGATTTCCCCTATTTGTCTCCCATTCTTTAAAAAAAAAAATTTTCTACATGTTCATTTTCAACCACATTACACAGTAAAATATTCTACACGTAGATCCAAAAATTTTTCCTACTTTTTAACCACACATTCTTCAAAAAATCACTATTTAAAACAATATTTTTCCCAAAAAAAAAAAGGCCACCAAATAGGGGCTAAATTATGAATATGATTAAAATTGGGAATAAATTAGGGTTCTTGACGAGTGTTTTGACTTTTGAGAAGGTGATTTTGAATTATACTTATTTTTTGTAGATTGGAGAAATAATTTCAAGATTTGAGAAAAAGGGGTTTAAGCTAAAAGGATTGAAGCTCTTCCAATGCCCCCAAGAATTAGCTCAGGTTTGTTTATACAAGACTTCCTTGCATTTATAATTTTCATAACTATCATATGCAAAAAAGGTTATGGATTGTTAGTTGAACATAATGCTGGCTTAATTATATGTTTGTCGTTAATTTGGTTTGAATCTGACTCTAAATCAGATATTTGATGTAAATTGATTGTATTAGCATATGGTTATCTTGATTTTGCTGGGAATTTGAACTCATGGGCAACATAACTCGATAGATCTGTCTTCTTTGTGATGAATTTTTGGCAACATTGAGCATAATAAGTTGCACATTATTCACGACTAAGTTACTTTAAAGTAACTTTTACCTTCCTTTTTTTTATTTTGGGTTTAGCTGAACAAGCTCGCTGATTCTTGTTTACATATGTGATGGTTGTAGGAGCATTACAAGGATCTGCAGTCGAAGCCATTCTTCCCGAAACTGATTAACTACATTACCTCGGGTCCTGTCGTGTGTATGGTATAACTCTCCTCTTTTGCTTCCTGTTTTTCTACATGCTAAGTATAAACCAATTATGAATGTGGTTGTTATAGTTTGTTTTCTAAATAAATTCGTTATAATTTTGTTGACTAGGCCTGGGAGGGTGTTGGTGTCGTTGCATCAGCTCGTAAGTTAATTGGAGTGACAAATCCGCTTAATGCTGAACCGGGCACAATCAGAGGAGATCTTGCAGTTCAAACTGGAAGGTCAGAACACTAGATTTTTAACTCATCACTCTTCATCCTGATAGAATACGTATAAGGATTTTTATTCTATCTTATTGACATCTTTCAAATTATTTATGCTCAAAACTGTACGCTATCCCATTGGCAGGAATGTGGTTCATGGCAGTGACAGTCCTGAGAATGGCAAGCGTGAAATAGGTAAAATTTGCATTCTGTTTGTTAAATCTTGTTCATTGTGCATATCAGTTTCATAATGTTTTATTAGTCAATTTCAAGTTATTCAACTACAAAGCTAAGTTGGATACTACTTACACCGAAGCTAATTTAAGGTTCATATGTTGCATAAACTAGCCGACCCCAAATTTGTGGACCATGCATCTTTCTTGGTATATCCAGATAATAGGTAGGAGCATAAACTCAAACATTCTAGAGCTATAAAGATAGTAATTAAATCGTTAGCACTGCATAAAAACATTCCTTGGGAATAATGCTTTAGTTTGTTGTGGCAATGTTTGCATAAAATAGAAAAGTAGATCGATAATTTGATCAGGAACCAATCTGCTTAAGATCTCTTTGTAACCTCATTATTAAATTAATCCCTCTTGGATTGGTCAACATGGTAACCATGCGATTTAAAGTCATTTCTTATGTTCAAAAATATGTCTGGCCTGAAAAATGAGGTCGAATTTTATTTCGTTAACTGTGGATGTTACTGGAGACTGGAAGGGGAAGCTTCATCCTTTTCTGGTAAGAAGACCTATTCATGGCAGAATACGCTTTGGGATTTCTATCTTGCACCATAATTTTTTTAATGCGTGTTTGGGAAGTAATTAAATTAAAATTTAAGTGATTATAAGTTGTGTATCCTACGATATCTGTGGATAAAAAGTGTTACCAGAAGTATAATCACTTCCCAAACATTTTACTTGTAGTCTTGGTCAGCAAGAGTTGCCCAATAGTTGCATTTTGTCATTATACTTATTTGAAGGTGACACTTTGTGTTGCTGTTACTTCCAACCATGACCAATAAAAGAATCATTTATTTCAAATCTTACTTATTTACTCATAAGTACACATTTTAAAGCTCAGCCAAACATGATATAATTCACATTCGCTTTTGTGGTTTGCAGCTCTCTGGTTCAAAGAGGGAGAACTATGCGAATGGACACCAGTTCTAGAGCCATGGCTGACGGAATAGTATTTTTATGCATTATTGCTCGTATTGTCTTCGGGGTTCTTTTCCAGCCATCTTGAGGACTGATTCGTCCACTTTTTTCTAACTTTATAGAGGTACATTCAACACTTAGATATTGTACTCGATTGTATTAATTAAGAAAAATAAGGTCAATTTTTATTTGTTGTACGGTCTAGTCATTCCCAGAAGAAAAATAAACTCCCAATTCTCATTGCTTCTTTTTCAAGTCGTAAGTGCGAAGTCTTATCAATCAGTAACTCGGATTCGAGTAACTTGGATTCGAGTCTCATTTAGGGAAATTGTGAAATTAAAAATAAATAAATAAATAAAAATTGATCGTACTCAAATGAAAGTCCCGAAAAGCACACAATTGGTGTAATAATTGTTGTGGAAAATTAGAAGACGAGAGATTTATTTCCTGAGGTTTGATGATGAACACTAATATGTAACCAATGGTTCACAAGGATTACACCAAGAACACCACCCAAGTCCCTCAAGAGCATTCTTCGATCCTCAAAGATCAAAGACAATTTTTCATGTGCGAATAATATTTGGAGATTGTCGGTTTGTTCTTTTACCCTACCGCTATCGCAATCATAGTCTCAATCCTACGACATATATTAGGACAGATTATTTTTTACGGACAGGGCAACATAGGCCCCGTCCCTGTAGCAAAACTCATATTAGGACATGCAAACATCAAATCAATTTTTGGTGTCATCAATCAAGATTCTCTATCAAGAAAAGGGCATTGGATTGTGTACTACTTCCCCTGCCGTCCCAAAGAAATTTAAAAATAAATAAATAAGTAGTAGAAATTTTTATTTTTGTATGAAGAGAATAAGTTTCTTTTAGCGGAGTTGCCGCGTGAGATTGTTAAGAGATAAATCTCGCATCGATTAAATATTGAAATATAAAGTAATATATAAGAATTTAGGTTATTTTTAATAAGGTTGACCTTTCAAAATGGAATAATAAGTCTTAATGTGATATCGGAGTTAATTAGGTTTCAATGAGCAATTTGATCTATCAAAACTAAAAAATCAGCACGCAAATTTTAAGATTAATCTACTTAAACGAACCACCATTTTGCGGGAACATGTTTAAGGGATAAATCTCACATCGATTAGATACCGAGATATAGATCAATATATAAGGGTTTGAGTACTCCTCTTAATAATGTTGACTTTTTAAAATAGAATCTCAAATCTTAATAAAGATCAAAGGTCAATGCTTGATTTTGGAGTTGGTTCAGAATAATTAAAAACTAACCAGGTGGCATGGGAATTATTAGAAGTAAAAAAAAAAAAAAAAAAAAA